TTTTATATAGTTTTGTTTAAGAGGCATATCAGTATCATGTACAGCGTCGTCATTAGTGGCCTCCAGTAAACTTTTAAAAATGTTTTTGTTTTTTGTGAGCAAGATTCATTGTGTCGAAAAAATGTAAGCTTGTGGTTATCAACCCTTTTTCGCTGCATACACCCCTTTCATCTATGCTGGAATATCATTCCTCCGTGCTTTCGCAAACTCGAAAATGGCGATGATGTGCCGTCAGGAGCAGGGAGATGCTTCGATCTCTGGTTGCGCAGACGCATACGCAGCAATGTACGTTGCACAGTGTGTTGAGAAATACTGTCTAGGTCACCACTATTGTAGCTGGTAGTGAGTTCGGCTGTTGTAGCCTTCTGTCACAGCGAACAATGCGCAGCAATAATCCCTCTCCTCTGGTATCAATACGCCATCGACGACACACTGCTGGCCGGCCACTTGTCGTTTCACTATCCATACACCACTTTCGATATGTGGTCACAACAACTGCACGTGAACAGCCCACTAACTCGCCATTTCTGATATTGATGTTCCCAGTCGCCGAGCCATAACGATTTGACATTTATCGAAGTCTGATAAATCAGCTGCTTTTCCATTATGTCGCTAATCCTGCTATATTTGGAAAGATCAAACCTTAATATTAAGCGAATATCGCGCAGCGTGACGTGTCCGAATCAATGACACTTACTGCCATGAAAGCACATAATATGAATGCAGTCATGATAAGAAGGACCAGGAAAGGAGTAGCAGTGAATGGAGACAAAGGCGGAGCAAGAGGATCATAAAATGACACGACATCGCCAAAAAGCAATTCAGTAAGTGTAGTAAAATTAATTGAATTTCTGTTTCCAACTTGTGAGGCATTTATCAGTTTACAGAAAATTTTCTCCAACCATTTTAGCGAATTCCATGACTTTAATAGTGAAAGCAGATATGGAAGCAGGAGTAATTTTCAGTTTCATGACTTGAAACCATTCTAGGAGAGCAATTTCAGCATTTTTCGATTTTCCTTGATTCTGCGCTTCTTGAAACATTTGCATTTTTATTACATCTTTATCAATTAGAATGCTTTGTTTAAGTAGCTTGTGCAATGGAGTTTCGGAAATTCCAGATTTAGATGCAGCTTTTCTCTGGCTGCACTTATCAAGAGAATCAAGTTCTTTTAATAGTTTATACTTTTCTTTCAGGCTTTAGACTTTTCTCATAGGCCATTTTCGGCACGATACAAGGAAACAACAACACAGATTAAAAAGGTGCATCTTCCAGTAATTTTTCAAGTTCAAACTGAGGTTTAAAGCCAGCAGAACGATTGCCATGTTTATAGGCATAACCAATGCTTTCTTTGCTTTTTCATCAGCCTGTCATTGCCATTCCCTTTCCATCTAAGACTGTTAATATACATAATTCTAGAAAGCGGATTATCCACCTTGTACCTCACACGCATTACTAATTTTTGCCATTGGAAGAAGAAGGGATATATAAATTTTCTTCATACATCACCAACGTCACTATAACGTCTCGCAGGAACTCGGTTGCATTATTAATTACAATAATCTATAATTAGTTTATCTACAATAAGTGTATTATGGCTGTAAGAACCAGTATTAAAAACAAGTAAAATAAGTGAGTATTTCTGAGACAGCCGTCGAGAACTGAAGGGAAATCTTGCACATCAAAGTTAATAGATAGCACCAGTGGCCGAGTGAATATAACCTCGTAGTACTTGGGTTTTATTCATAATGTCCAGATTAATTGCTTAATTAAGCTTGTGAATTACCTTACCACCACGTAAACAGCATTTTACTTTGCATTTAATAAATTCTATTTAACAATGCACTCTAAAATATGCTGAATATTGCAGTAATTTCATCCTTTTTCTTATCTGTATTAAGTCAAGGATTTCTAGTTCAGTAAAGCAGAGAAAACTATAGTAGTGTAATCTACACGTAATGTAAAGCTATAGACTCAAGCTGATGGCCTGCTGGTCGCATCCGGCACCTGAAGCAGATTTACGTCACAGCCAGTGAATTACATTTCAGTTACATATATGTTAATATAGATTAAACTAATATACGTGATTACTTTCGCAGAAAATACAGATGCTATAAATAGTTTGAGCTGTTGTCTCTATCAATTTATGTTTGTATGACAGCCCACGTGACTGTGATTTAGCATTTTTTGTTAACTTACTTGTCCATTTAAATATTCTGATTAAAGAGCTGCAAGAAAAAGAATAAAGTTACCGTGACATGTTATGCTTGTATTAAAGCTTTTAATTTGAAATTATTGGAAACGCAAGTGGGATAAAATAAGTTCGTGCATTTCTTACATCTTAATATTGTCTCATTATTTCAAATGAGAAATCTCAGGATTATGTAAGAAAGATTGCGATATTAAGACAAGAAATTGAAGACAGATTTAAAGATTTTAATTATTCGGAGTCCAATTTTACATTATAGTCATCGCCGTAATAATAACGCACTAAGAAAACCAAAAATGGAGCTATTTAATTTGCAGTGTCATATAAATGCTATTGAAAGATCGGAAGATGCAGATTTGTTTTACTTGCTTTGGTCTTCACTGACTAGTCAAGAGATACGTAAATATCCTTAGTTAAGAAATTTCGCAATATGTTTTAGCAACTGAAAATTAATTAGACTAAGGAATAAACCTGATCGATCGATGAGCGTCTATTATTCGCGATGAAGATAGTTGCTAATCATTTTAAGATAGTTACCAAGGCTACAAATTTGATCAGCAAGAAATAAAAAAAATCATATTTATTTAAACACATTCTTATGTATGTGTCGAAGAAAATTTCAATAAATGAAAGAAAGGCAATAGGTTGTCGTTATTTATACTTTCATACAACTTTTTCCATATTGTTTTTAATTTTATCTATACTGCTTTCATTCTTAGTTCAAGTAAGTTATTTAGTGAATAAATGAATGTATTGGAATTACTTGAATTAAATACCTGTCAGAAAATTTCTTAATTTACTGTCAGTGCATTTGTAATTCAGAATGTAACCAACAGAAATGTCTTCAAGTTACAACCCATTAGATGTTAGGAAATAAATATGAATTTCAAGATTTTTCACTTTGAATAAAATTCTGCATTGGTTATTATTATAGAACATCTTTTTCACATGGACAGCAATAAAAAGGGCTGACTTTTATTTACTATATATAATTGGTGTAAATATGTTTCTCATACGCATAGTTTTATGTAAAGATTGCATTTGGTCTCAGATGTTTATCACATATTTCTTTCTTCATCTTATTTACCATTTATTAAGTAATATTTCACATCGATATTTTTGCGAAATCTCCAACATGTGTTTGTATTTATTTCAACCAAGTAGTGAAGTCTTCATATTTGCCTATATTTGATCTAACTTCGCAATGAAAAGTTTCAGAAATAATCGACGATGCTTTAATTACTTTGTACAGAAAATTGCGTGGCAGAACATTTTCAACCATTTTGCTTAAATCTTCAAGCACGCGAAAGGTCATGTGACATGACAGAAATATTACTGGATGCTCATTGGTCCAATTTAGAAGCCATACCCTCGGTGGCTACACAGACGTGCACTTGTGAAATATGCTATCGGGTTACGCAAAAATTCCAGATAGTAAAAGAAGCTTACGAAAATTCAGAGATCAGAGATAGCGAACGGAAAAAGAAATTACCGAAGGAAGATAAAAAATGGCAAGCCCTCATTAAAACGTGGAGATCACCTGTGTCTTCCCTGCTAGCAGAAATTCTGCATGAAAACCAATTTCCGGCCTTAAATTCAGAAATGGAAGTCACAGAACAGGATAAGGAATTACAGATGAATATCACGCCCATAGTCCTCACGGACAATCCTGTTTGGATGTCTATTGATATTATGTTAAAAGAAACTTGCAAAGAACACTTCGAAGCTGAGATGAAAAATAGAGCGATATATCTTCGCACTAATTCAATTACTGATTATTATAACACGATAGCTAACCTAAAAAACGCAAAGAATAATTTTCACATGTTTCAGATAATCCTTCTCTCACGGTTAAAGTCATTCATGAAAACAAGCCATGTTTGACGACTTCGAAGAAAATATCCGATTATTAAAGTCAAGCAATTTTCAAAGACTTTAGTTGGTAAAAAAATAATGCTACCCATATTTGTTCTGGACTATATAGGAATGCAAACGGAGAAGCAATCCATAATCTAAATAACATTTTTGATTTTAATGTGATCATTGAAAAATACACTCCGCGTAAACAACCTTCACAATATTATAGATATCATTTGCGGCATAGTTCAACGTCAGCTTTAATTCGGGCTCTTTTCTCAAAGCAAAACATAATAAAAGAAATTAAGTGAAAGAAAAAAATAATTAGGGAAATAGACCATCTACTCTGCCACTGTCAACACTATAGTAACGAGGCGAATCGGAATATAATGACCTTGAAATGACTATTCTAAAGTACCAGAGTGTAAATAGAAACCATAAGCAATGCAAATTACCCTTAAATATAAAATGTCCCACTAGATAATTAAAAAAAGCATACAATATAAGATACTCTGCTACAATGATTATGAAAATTACACATCATGCTTCTAATATTTAAAACATTCAGTAATTATTGCCAAACTTTGACTGAAGTATGTGAATCCCCTGCCATACCATATAGACATTAGTTATTTTCGAGCAATCTTAATCGATAGGAATTATTCATAAAAGGACTGTGCTCAGTCAAGTAATGATAGACTTTAAAAGTGGTCTGCGCGGGAAACGCTGAGGAGTTTGGACATTTACAGGCCAACTGCTTTAAACCTGCACGCTGCGTAAAATGCACTAAGAACCATAGGAGTAATACATGCCAACTTCAATCAAATGAGAAACCCAAGTGTATATTTTGCTCTGAATCTCACTTAAGCTCTTACAGTGGAGTTAAAATTTATCAGCAGAGATTTCAAAAAAATTCGCCAACCAGAAAACAAACCATCTCCATCTAAAATAGAAGACATCCCTAAATTTCCTATAGCAGCAACTTCTTCTGAAAATGTTACAATCTTTAAAAAATCATTCAGTGAAGCATTAAAGCAAAATAAATCTAAAGAAGAACAGATTCCTGAAATTGATCATGCAAGTTTTTCAAAATCCGAAAGTCTTCAATTTAATTAATAATATTTCCATTTGAGCTCAACAGATAAGATATGCCAAAGATAATACAGAGGAAATCCGCATTGCTTTTAAGACTGTCGAACCTATGCTGAGATTTGCTCAAAATGTCTAAATTGCTTATCTTATTACTTGACGATTCACAGCCGAGCGGGTAAAGTCAAGGCTTACTGATCCTGAGTCCTCCCCATCTCCCTGTCCTTCTGCAGCTGCCCCAGGCATGGCTAGCTGATCATCGAAGCTCAGGGCTTCACTTCTCTTTTCTTTTACAAGGCTATCATTCACTGAGGCTTCATTTTTACAATAGTAGACTCATAAAAAATTATTAATAATTATCCTAAGAGGGTTCTAATTCTAATGAAAATTTCCAATCTAAAAATAATCATTTATTTACAAAGCAACTTGATTGCATCGAAGGTTCACTAAAACTAACACTTTTTCAGAAGCGAAGCGCCCTCTAACGGCGATACATTTGGGGATTTTTCCACACTCCCCACCTGATAATTTTTGCAAAAATTATCACTATTTCAGCATACAAATAATAAAATATAAGAAAGCAACTTACATATCAAATACATTCAACTGATGTAAATATAAACTGCAAAAGGAAATTCTATAAAATAAACAAATATAGTTAACTGCATCAACTCAAATGTTACTCAATACGTAAATATTAATTCAAATTACAAACAGTAAATTATTAGTAATAACTAAACTAATTATCTAAAATTAATGTTAGTGAATATGAAATATAAGAAGTAAAATTAAAAGGTTACAAATTTAGTTCATTTTCAGTCTGATAGTTCAAGGGGGTATATCAATTGCACAGGTCTCTCTTAAGGTCCCCTTTTTTAGTTTTTACCACACATGATGATCGTACAAGACCATCACGTCCTTTGAAGACTTGAATTACTCGACCTAAATCCCAGAGGAACTTAGATTTAGTTGTTCCTTCAAGTAAAACTATATCACCAATTTTAAGATTTTTCTTGGCTTCTGGTGTACCGAAGAAGTGAGCATTTCTTAACTCAAGAAGATACTGATTTTTCCATTTTTTCCAGAACTGTTTTATAAGTGTTGTCTGATATTCTTTTCGTTTTATTAGACTCTTTCTTGTTGGAGAGTTATTCAGGATCTCAGCAAAGTTGTATGGATATTCATCCTTATGTCCGATCAATAGAAAATCAGCCGGTGCAAGCGGTTCAGGTTCATGTAAATCGTTGTAAACGTAGGTCAAAGGACGTCTATTCACAATATTTTCGACCTCTGTCAACACAGTCATAAATTCTTCAAAATTCAGTTGAGCTCTGCCTAATATCTTTTTCAACGGTTCCTTTATGGTTTTCATAAGGCGTTCATAAAAAGCTCCCCACCATGGAGCAAGCTCGACGATAAATTTCCAAGTCAAGCCTTCATTTGCTAGAAAATTTTGAAAGTCTGTACCTTTAATTATGCTGTAAAAATACTGTAAATCTTTGGCAGCATATTTGAAAGTTTTCGCGTTATCTGAATAAAAGGTGCGACAGTTTCCTCTTCTCGAAATGAAACGTCTGAGAGCCAAAATGAATTTGTTTGCAGACATATTGGAAATGAGTTCTAGATGTAACGCTCGTGTAACAGCGCACGTAAACAATACGATGTATGATTTCTGAATGTCGTTTCCAGACCTGATGTAAACTGGACCTGTGAAATCCACGCCTGTAACATAGAAAGGTGGAGTTTCAACAATTCGATCTTTAGGTAACTGAGCTGTCATTTGTTTCGCTGGTTTTACTGCGTATTTCCGACAAATTAAACAGTTCCCTAAGACTTTCTTTACCAACTGACGGCCTTTAGGAATCCAAAATTTCTGTCTTAGTTTGGCTAAAGTTGCTGCAACTCCCGCATGCAGAACGTTATTATGTTCCCTTTTTACAATTAATTCAGTAAATTTGGAATCTTTAGGAAGAAGAACTGGATGCTTCTCGTCAACTGTATATTCGGTTTCTTCTAATCTTCTCTTAATTCGAAGAATTTTATATTCACAAGAAACGGTGCCAAGCTGAATATATTAGATCTTAGAGCAATTGACTTGTTAGATTGAAGAGCCTTAATTTCAGGTGTGAAGAAATCCATCATCTGAGCTTTACAAACACAAAATATTTCAGCGTCTTGAATTTCAGAAGCACTTAATGTTCCACTATTAGCAGGCAGTTTTCTTGCCTTAGCAACGAAACGTCTAACCCATGCCATAATTCTGAGATATTTCAGCACATTACTGAATTTTGTTATATCCAATAGTTGATCATCTCTTTTCACAACAACGTCATAAACAGATATCTTACTACGGAGTTCTAGTTGCTTATCGTTTCCCACGTCAAACTTCGGTTGAACTGGCCAGTCTATACGTTTGTTTTGCAACCATTCTGGTCCAAACCACCAAAAGACAATTCAAATCACTAACCCGTATAATCAGCAATTTTCTAATTCAATATTCAGTTTTTCTAAGAACTCGGATCCTTGATCCATGTAATACGATTTGCGATCTGTCCATAAATATTATGTTGACAAATATGATTAAATAATTTAGTTACATATTTTGCAATTCTAGCTGCCGTCACTGCTCCCATCAATTCCAATCGGGGTAATTTTAAGCTTTTAAGAGGAGTTACTCTGGTCCTTGATAAAATGAAACTCATTTTGATTTCACCCAACTTATTTGTATATCTGAAATATGCTACACATCCATATGCATAATTACTTGCATCGCAGAATATGTGTATTGAAATGTCACTATTTTGCTTATCAACATTTTGAAAGTATTTTCTATCTATCGATATTTCTTGTAAATGAATTATTTCTGCAAGCTATTTCTTAAATTCGGTTTCAATATAATTTGGGAGCTGTTCGTCTCAATCAAGACTCTTTACCCATATTTGCTGTATGAGGATTTTAATTATGATCACGAAAGGTGATATAAATCCTGTTGGATCATAAATTTTTGCAGTAACTTGTAATACTGTTCTTTTAGTATATCACACACAATTAGTTGACGATAATTCTAAAGATTTTAAATCTAGTTTAATAATATCATTTTCTGTATCCCAATCAAGACCTAAAATTTTAGCTTACGCAAAGGAATCCATTCATTGATAAACCGTTTTTTAACCACATGTCTTTTAACTCCGTAGAATTGGAATTAAATTTACGTAGATTCTCATATTTGCGTGTTTTAAAATCATAACTGCAACAGATGACAACTGGTATGCCTTTTCTACTGTACTCGTTCCATAATATAAATCATCGACATATAAAGATGAATTTAACATTTCATAACTTTCAGGATATTTAGTGATGTATTTTTTAATATGGTGCTTTATTGTGGCTGCTAGAATGAATGGACTGGTACTAATACCAAATGGTAAACGTGTCATGTTCATAATTTTGAGCGATTCACTGTTGTCATTCTGAAACCAAAAAATTTTTAAATACTTGCGATCTTCCTCGGCAATACTTATCATTAGAAATACATGTTCTATATTAACGGAAAAAGCGATATCGTGTTCTCGAAATTTAAGAATAACATCTAATATGTTAGGATTTAAATTAGGTCCAACCTGTAACAGATCATTTAAGGATTTAGAATCTTTTCCTTTGCATGACGCATCGACAACAATTCTAACACGAGAAGTTTCTTTATCTGGTCTCATTACTGTTCTATGGGGCATATAATAGCCTGATTCGAAATCTTTATTTTGATATACTTCAACAATTCCGTCATCGAGTTGATCTTGAATTAATTTTGTGTATTCCTTACGCATTTCTACATCCCTATTCACTCTCTCTCTCAAAATCTTAAAACGCTTCTTCGCAATATGAAAATTATTATTTAATTCATTAGGGTTAGATTTTCAAAGCAATTTCGTTTGATATCTGCCCTTATCAAAGGATAAAGAATTTTCAAATTGATCAATTATTTGTTTATCTTTAACAGAGAAGTCTACGTTTTCTTTTGAAATACCAATTGAATCTAATTCCAAAACACTCTTCGGTCATTCACTATCGCATTGTCCATAACTCTTAGGTCATTCATTATCGCATTGTTTGTAAACAAGCTTCCGCTTTTCCAAATTTCGAACCTGAATTACCCATCCAAAGTATGCACCTAAATGTTTATTAATTTGATTTTTTTATCTAAGATAAATTTCCAAAATATATCGGATCCTATTAAGATTTCCACGTCTAAATACTTATCTCCGCAGCATGAGTCAGCGAGCGGTAATTTATGCCTAGTCATGAATTCTGACACTTGTTTATCCGGAGGTGAAATTATGGCGCCAGTAATGCTTGGGATAACGAGAGTTTCGATTTTAATTGAGTACTGCGTATTATGTCTAGCTTTGATTTCAAATTCTACCACTGGATACCTCTTTTCTGAAGCGCATTTCATTCCGAAGGAATAACCAGAAAGTAATTCATGGCGAATAGGTGTGAGCGTATTCGCTACATGTTCAGTGCAGAAACTTTTTTGACTTCCATTATCGGGTAGAAGCCGTTACTTTAGAACTAAATCTTGAATTTACTGCACATGTTTGTAAATAGACACTTTTGTAACTTGCATTACACTATGAAATTGAACTGATAGTTTCAGAATTAGAATTATTTAACTCTTGAGTATCTTCAGCATTGCAATTTAAATTCAAAGAGGCTAAAGTGCAGAATCGCCCACTTATTTGTTTGGCGCTTTCTACAAGAGTTGGAAAAATTGGATTTTTGTCAATTTTCTTTGTCTTTTTAAGTGAAAATAGGTCGGTCGATGTGTACAGGGATAAAAGTCGAGGGAGTGCACAATGCCATTTTTGTGCAATTCTGGGATAATTTTTTTAAGTGAAAATAGGCCGATGTGTACATGGATACCGAGCATGTGCAGTTCTTAAAAACGCGCCAAGCAGTGGGCGATTCTGCATTTTCCCCTTCAATGATTCTTTAACCCAGAAGAGCCCAGATTCGTATCCCGGAGAATGTAGTATTGATGCAATTTGTCTGTCCCTGCATAGAAAGCAACAGCGGCCCTATTAATTCCTCCATAATAAAGAGCTACCGCTTCCGACCTTAATAGTGGCCAACGCCTGCAAAGTCTGCGATTGAATACTTTCAATTAATACTAAAAAAAACTTGAATAATCACAGTTAATTTTCATTCCGAAAGGAATAGGTAAAGAAGAAGTTATAGTAAAAACTGTTCATAATAAACATATTTTTATAGAAAACGGAAGAGAAAGAGCTCAGATTCATGAAATTTATTTATTTTCAGCGTTGAATAGCTTATTATATAGGCTTAATTCTTTGGTTATGGTACAAAATGTTTTACGTGATTCATCATATTCTCAAGCTGTTTAGACGTTTTTTATTTATTGTTTGTTCTTTGCATATATGTGTGTGGTTACTTATATTAAATTTCATAACTCTTAAGTGATTAACTTCGGATTATGGTTTTTAATAAATTCAAGTCAAAGTGAAAAATAAACAAATAAAAAATGAAATTAAAAAAACGGAAAAAAACCCAAAATAAAGTTTAAAAGCAGGGTTAAACTTTATTGAATTGAAATTTTATTAAAATGATGATCAACGGATGATAAAATTTAGATGGCTTATTAATGTTATGAATTTAAAACTGCTTTAGTAAAGAAAATACATAACCTAAATAAGACATCAGAAAGGCAGATTTTATCGGACGAGCAGTTAAAAAACTCTGTTGTAACAATTTCTTATTTGACTGCATAAGATCTTTATTTCTAGTTTTAAATATTACTCATTTATACTATTTTAGAAACGTAAATATAAGTCAAATACTTATCAAACATTTTTCGCTTTATTATTCGTTATTTATCTCGTTAATTCGCAATGTTATTAATTAGTACAGCAGTATTAATAAATTGATGTACATAATTTTTATAACAGTATTCTTTAACAGACTCTAAGAGCTTTGAGTGTGCGTGTGTGTGTGATTATGGCAAAGCCTCGAGGGCTATCTGCCTAAGAGGAGGGATGTCTTCGTGGAGGACTTTCTAAGGGAAACTGGCTCGTATACACGTTACACATGGGGAAAACCACGAAAACGCCCATGCAGCCAGCCCGTTCGCGGGATTCGAACCTCGGACCGCTAAGAGCTTTGAATAACGTAATAAATTCATTATGTAATTCTATAGTAGGCAATACACGTATTAATCTTCTCTAAGAGGACAACACAAGAGAAAAATGGTTCGGAAACGTGGTTATTGTTGCTGTAAGCTAACCGTAAAGGTGGAGATTATGGTTTGTATGCAGTATCGACTGCGAATGACACCAAAGATTTTAGAATATCATTCCTTAGATATATGACAGTCATTTATACATCACCACTAGTTTATAGATTGTTTTTCAATAATATGATACAGTTTTTTTTAATATGGTGGAGATCTCAGGTCTTAAAGCTAACAGAAAATAAAGACTTTGTTGAATGAATATGCTCTTTCAATATTCCTTAATCTATTAAATCCAAAAATGTTACAGAAATGTTTATTTTCGTTCCTCAAAACATTGTTTTGTTTTTACATTGATGTTTCCTCTCATATTTCTTTCTGTCATTTGTTTATCGGCGTAAAATCAAAAAGCTCTTCCCAGGAGTTATTCATTTCTGCAATGCAGCATTTCATAATCTACGTTTCCCAAACCAAGAATAATCCAATTTTCAATGTTTGTGAGTCGTCGATCTCAGAGCTGATACCATCTGCGATTTTTTTTCTCTTTTTGTTCTTTTCCGAGATGTGATACCGTGGTTATTCTCGAAATCATTGTTTGTATCTTACGTGAGGCCGTAATGTTTATTGGAAAAATGCTTATGGTTGATCCCTAAAAAATCACTGCAGGCTGAATATTTTTAACCAAAAACATTCAGAACTAGAAAAGCTCCAAAATCACTCAGATTTCGGAATATTTGCATATGCATAATGGGGTACCCTGTGGGTTAGGCTTGGGCTAAATATGAAATTCGTTGGTATTTTATTTACACATTATAATCTATCTGGAAGATACTGATAAAACAACATTATATGACGTTCAGAATTATTAAGCAAACGTTTTTTCAGATATTATACTCTATGATGTTTGTTCTTCAGCTGCAACCAATGAGAAAAATCATTTTTTCATCAGCCACCAATATATAGTTGTCTATTTTCATCCTGACTCTAAACTCTGAATTAATATGGCATTAATAAGTAATTATGTGAGAGGTATTTGACAATGGAATTCATTTCATTTGTAAAGCGAAAGTTTATGAGGCTCGTACAGCTTTCTGTAAGGCTAATATATAATATGATAATTTTTAATAATAATAATAATAATAATGATAACAATTTTTACACAGCTTTCTGTAAGGCTTCTTACGGCAAGCTTTACGAGGCATCATACTGGCGTTAAAAATATTCAGATTTTGGAGCAGTTTGGATTAAGAATGTTGAATCTGCATTAGTAATAAATACAATTTCTTTAAAATGGGCAGGCTGCACGTGCTTTAAATAGTTTCCCCGGTAAACATTCAAAGGAAAGTAAATTAAAAATTTTCATAAAAATATCATGAACAAAATAATATTTTGATACTGATCACAAAGAGTTCTTTAATTTTGTTCACTTATAGCCTACTGAATAACATTTTCCAGTGAAATTATATTAAAGATGAGTACATTAAACGTGGTACAAAAATGATTCATCTTTTCTGATGTTCGTATTTTGCGAAATGTTTTATATTTAGAATTAAAATATTTAATGAATGATGTTTGAATGCACATATGTTAATTTTTTACATAGTTTTAATTTACAAGTCTCTAATTCTTTTGCTACATAAATGTAGGATATTAAAAATATGTACCACAAATTTTATTTTATTAAATGTTCAAAACGTATGTTTGAAGTCATAATCTTTCTAAAAACAAAGCTGAGAATTTTATGAAAAGATTTTCTGCGTTGCTGACAGAATGATGAAGAAATACAAGATTTAACTCCCTCTACGTTACTGTAAAGCAAAATGTCTAATTAATGTTCTTAGTAATTTTTCATTGCGTACGGTTTTCATAGAGCAAAATATCTATTTAGTAAATTGTTCGTTTTATGGGTACATAATTTATATACTTCACATATCCACTGTCGAAAATTGCGGACTGCATTTAATAGTTCCATGCGGTAAATTATAAAAGTAATTACAAATACTTTTTTCTTTGATATAGAACATTTATTGACTAAGTAAGAATTGCTCTTGTACTTCTTTTCTAAACTTGAGCAAAAAATATTTAGATCTGTTGGGAGATAAGCGTTGAGAAATGATTAGGAAAGAAAACTTATTGGTATTTTGTCTCATCAAATGTACGCATAGTACATTCTGTATATAGCTCATGACAATATTATGAATATCTTACTAACATATGGCATTTTGCTCTGTGGAAACGTTTTTCGTTGTGGCATATGTGAAGGAATTATGTTAAGATAAATGAAGAGGAAAGTACTCAAGCCTCAAGATTTTATTATTAGAACTCAATAAGTAACCATTTATATGAATATTTCTGGAAAATAGAGAGCATTCTCCTATAAATTTAACATAATGAAAATAAATTAATAAAAAGAAAATTTAAGAAAAATCCATTTTTAGGTGACTTGCTTTGATGGGATTGAAACTCGGGTCTTATTGCTTTCAAATCTGACATCTTACCCGCTAAGCGATGGCGGCCTCGGCTGAAAGGAACAATTTTCGCTACGGTATAAAGATTTCGTTTTGTATTTGTAAACTTTCC